TTCTAAAATGCTTTTGCTGTTACTTTACAAGAAAAGTAAAAGTCTGGACATTTAGTATTTGAAAAGACATATTTTCTAAAATGATATTCAAGCCTACAACGTTAAATCTTTTGGGGATGATTAATGTTAGGCCTTATTTCCGGGGCTTTTATCATTTGAATTGAAAGTGTTTCACAAAAGGCGCCTAAAACAACAGGTAACTTAATGGTTACACCAGCTGGCGGCGCTGCAGTCTCATTGACCTCCTTCTGGAGGAAGATACAGTGTCTTACAAACTTTGTTTCAACTTCCAATATGTCCTACATCTTCTTCGTACTTGTCATATTTTTGTCCCTTTACCATACATTATTTTATTTACATAGTCAATGGCACAAACAGTGGAATTAAAGATAACCTTAGAGTGCTATGTCAGTTAATTCATATTCATCATTTAATTTATTTGTTTAGGTTAACGTTCGTACTTCGGGTGAATATTTTGACTTGTGATGAATCTGACTGGTAAAAACAGTTGATTTATCTTGAACTGTGACTTCATTGCTGCGGTTCTGTTGTCATGACAATAAGCCACTATGTTACGCCATCTCATTTAAAAATCGTGCAAGTTTTTGATTATCCTCTTAATGAACAAGATTAACAGAAGCGGCCATTCAGCAAAAGTACCGAAGGCTACAAACTATATATTTAACAAAACATATAGGCATATAATCTCAGATTTTCAAGATTATTAAAAGCGGCAACGTGAAGCACCTTTGAGACAAAGCACAAATTAGCACAAGTAGGACAATGAAATTAGGTAAAACCTCCTTACCTGTCATTGACAGAATACAATGTGACTAGATTAATGTGCAGATTTTACTTCTGGCACAGGCCATTTCAATTAAAGTAGAGACTTAGAATTCAGAATGTACTGAGAGCAGAACATAGAATTTACTTAATAGTTTTTCTTTTATTATGATTGTTCAACCCAAGATTGTGGAGGTTGTGCAAAGAGTCGTAACATTGTGTCTAGCGGAACCTAATGTAGTTACAAGGAACCTGTTGACAAAGCTTATTAAAGTAAATGTTAGTATTTTAACTGCATTGCCAGAATTCAGTCGGAAATACAGTAGACCTACACCTTTGAAGGACTGCAGTATAAGTAATGTTAATGTTTGTGAGTTGTTACAGTTCATCATATTTTCCGTGTGTATTTTCAACTATTCTGTAGATTCCAAACATTCAGACGAGAGGAGGGTGGCGGACCAGCCCGGAGACGCAGATGTAGCACAAGACGACAAATAACCTTCAGAGTGTCTGTGCTGAGGAGCAGCACATTGACCTGTTACAGGTCTCATAGGGGTAATCTCTGTTTTTATTAGTTTGCTAATTTACGTGGACAGATCTTTGTTAAAAAAACAAAAAACAGATTTGTTGTATAACCAGTTTTTTGTTTCACCATCTTTTACATAGTGGTTCATGACATTTTGTCTTGCTTGTTATTAGTAATAAGAACTTTGTTACGTTGTTAAAACTTTGAGTAATATATCTTTTTTTACGCAGATGCTACTCCTCCCTGTCGGGTCGTCGTCCCTTTAGACCTTGACGAACAGGAGTTTGTTCAAGTCCTTCAAGAAAACATCCCCGCGTTGCCTGAACACTTTGAGCTTTGCCGAGTCAATGGGCAGCGCAGCATAATAGTGTTGGAGGAGCAGTGCCCAAGGGACATACATGCCCAGAATGCCCTAGGGCGCTCTTGTCTCTACCTACGCCCCAAGGTATGCAAATATGTGACACAGCGCTAGTGTTGTAGTTTTGGTCTGGTTTGTAGTATTTTCGTGTTTTTATTCCTGTTATGTTCTTCCTCTTGTGTTTTTGTTGTTTAGACCTCCCAGTCTCCACATTCTTGTTCCTTGTCCATGATTATATGGTGTTAAGCATACACCACATACATAAGGGTGCAAAATTAAAGACAACATATAACAATTTCCCCAGGCCAATTAAATTGTCTTCAATTTTGCACCCTTATGTATTTTGTAGTATTTTGACTTCTTGTTTCTTATCTAGCTTTTTTTCCTGTTAATGTTGATTATCTGATCTTGTCTAACAATTTTTCTGTCTTTGGGATTCTGTTTCTGTTGGGGATTCTGTATTTTGGTTCTTGCTGGCCTTCTCAGTTTGTATTATTGCTTTTGTTGGATATTTGGTTCATTTCTCAGACTGCCTGCCTCACCTCCATTTAAGTGGATTACCCCTTTTAGTCCTATTAGTTCGCTTCAGATGCTACTTGCCTTTACTTATAAAGATATAAAGTTGTGGCTGAAACTGTATGAGCCTTCACATGCATATTAATGTTGTTCATCATTTCATTTTAGGATGTTATGTCAAACCCCTCCATACCAGTGGAACAAACACCAGCTGCACCACCAATTGCAGTTGGGACAACTTCTCCTGCTCCATCTCCACCAATCCACACCTCTTCTCCTGCTCCATCTCCACCAATCCACACCTCTTCTCCTGCTCCATCTCCACCAATCCACACCTCTTCACCTGCTCCATCTCCACCAATCCACACCTCTTCTCCTGCTCCATCTCCACCAATCCACACCTCTTCTCCTGCTCCATCTCCACCAATCCACACCTCTTCTCCTGCTCCATCTCCACCAATCCACACCTCTTCTCCTGCTCCATCTCCACCAATCCACACCTCTTCACCTGCTCCATCTCCAGCTCACAATCATTTCTAATATCCTCCGCACCATCGAGCCCCAGGAGGGAACTGAAGAGTAAGTACACATTTTTGAAGTACTCTATCAATACAGAGCTTTTGACATCGCTGTGGCACTTCGATCCCTACAATCAAGGGTTCACCATCTGGCTCCCACAGCCAATCAGATAAATGTTCTTCGCAATGAAGAATTTGAATGTGCCGAGAGAGCCTTCCGGCGACCAGCCTTCAATCCACAGTCCAAGCTGGACATCGTTTTCATAGATGAGGATGGTCAAGGAGAAGGTGCCATCGACGATGGTGGGCCAACAAGGGAATTTTGTAGGTTGCTAATGCAACAACTCCAGGAGCATCAAATATTTGAAGGGCCTCTTGAAGCCCGTACCTGGCCCTTGACAGTGTTGGTATGTTTTTTGTTTGTTTTTTTTCTTTCCAACAATGTCAGGAAACATACTCATTTAATGTATGTCCACACTCCACAGCTTTATTTAACATTACTTTGATCAATTTTAATTGTCTTTCTTTTATAGCTCTTCACAACAACACTTATAGACTTGTGGGCCAAATGTTGGCAGTTTGTCTCATCCATGGAGGGGTGTCGCCACACTTTTTTTCCAAGAGGCTTTTTAATCAAGTCTGTGGTCTTCCACCTAGTCCAGCAACCATTGAAGAGGTGGTAGACCACAGCCTTAGGGCAAAACTGGAGAAGGCAAGTTTGGAAGTCATTACACACTTTACACACCTGTCTCTGGCCAATAAATGTTCAAGTATTTGGTAGTGGCTACTCTCTATTTCTTTTTATAATTTCAGATAAGCAGTGCAGTAGCGCTACAGGATGCAAGGCAGGCTGTCAATGAAGCGGCCGAAGAGTTGGCAATGATGGGAGCCCTACGGCACCTCCGCTCGTTGGACCACAGGGGGGAATTGATGGAAGCTGTCCTCCAGTTCCACTGTGAAGGCCGAATCTATGCAGCCCTCCAACAGTAAGTTGTATATTACAAACAGAAAATGTTAATTGACATCAACTGCAGCAAAGCAACTTTACTAGAACCTTGGTGTTCAAATTACAGTAGTGGGATTTCTCCTTGAGTTGCTATTGACACGTGAAGTCAAGTTATTTTAAATTAACTAATCACAATATTAAGTACACCATTTAAAGTAAATGGTTTCAGGGGAGGCTCGGTGACTGGAACTGAAACCACCATATCACCAAGTGAACATAGAATAGCCTACATGTGTGAGTTTGGAGATACAGTAGTTTTTGGTTCCCCCATCAGAGTCAGAAACTAAGTCACTGTAGTCAGAAGTCATGCTATTTTGGCTCAAATATTAAGTGTCTATGGGATCAATTAATTTAATCAAGATCCGATAGGCATCCAGGAATTAAGCAAAGCTTACAAAGTAAACTAAACTAAAGACTTGGTGGGGGGAGCGCTGTTTCCGAAACTTTGTCTGAGGGGAAGCCCGCAGTCTAAGACTTTGAAAACCCCTTGCCCTAGGTGCATGGTGAGGGAGTATTGGAGAATCTTTAAAGGTGTGAAGAGGCAGGGCAGAGGCAAAAAAATTAATACCACAAATCTGATGACAGCAGGAAATGGTAGTTGGGGTCTGCTAATGTATGAAAGGGCATTGCTATTGTGTGTCACCCTGATGGTGTCTCTCCAGAGGTTGGTCAAGACAATTTTTTTATTGATTTTTGTTTTTTACGCACACACGTGTACAGACTTGCAGGCAGAAAACGATACAATTAAATTTTTATATACACACACAGTAGTGCCAATTCATAAGTTTATCTCATTGCAGTTTTCATATAGACAAGGTCTAGACCATACTCTTAGTAATATTTACAGAGACCCAGCAATAATAGAACATGAGGTAATGGTGTTTTACAATTTCTACAATCTTGGGTAACATTGTAAAAGAACAGAATTAAATTATTATTTTTTTGCATCAGATTCAAAGAAGGACTAACTTCACTTGGTGTCCTGGATGAAGTCACCTCACATCCACAAGACTTTGAAAAAGTCTTCCTCCAGGACACAACAACCCTAAAGGCCAGCGACATTGTGGGGGTGTTCCAGGCCAGATGCCGATCCCTCCCATCATCAAATAGGAGGCGGTTGGAAGCCAGGACCATTGTATTCTGGAAAGACTGGCTCCTGGAGGTGGAAGGTATGGGTCCCTGTGCTTATAATTGTGTGTGTGTGTGTGTGTGTGTGTATAGGTTTATTTGTGTTGTCATGTTTTTGGTAAGTCACGTGGATGGTTTCTGTATAGTTAATTTACACACCTGTTTAATGCCAGTGAGCAGATAACAGGTGAGTGAATGGGACGCTGCTGTTTTTTGTTTTTTTTGATGAACGCGGTGTTCTCTATAGTTTTGATTGATTTCTCACTATACGGTTTTCACATTTTAAGTTGCATATTTTCATCAAAAACCTAGAATATTTTTTTTGAAATCTGCGAATTATGCAGCGAGTCCGACAAACGGCACCACAAGGCCCTACCTCAGCCTCTTGGTACTTTGTTTTTGCTTTTAAGAATAGTCTCTACATTTATCTTACAATCTACTACTGGCTGTGGCTGGCTCCTTCATGAATCCTCTTGCAACATAATTTATTTTTATATCTATATACAGGTGGACTTGCTGGACCAATCACACTGGAGCAGGTCCTAATTTTTGGAACAGGTCTCCGCAGAATCCCAGCAATGGGCTTTTCAGTGCAGCCTGAGCTGGCATTTTTACACCCTGAAGATGGACATGCCAAGTTTCCCCAGGCCAACACCTGCGCGTTGGTGCTACATCTACCCGTGGGTCAAACCTACAGTATATTCAAAACTAACATGGAGCTTGGGATAGGCTCTGCACAGCAGTTTGGGTTGGCCTAAATGGTGTCTATTTGTCTTTTCACTTTTGGAGTGAAGTTCTCAGGATTTGTTCATTTGTTCATAGTTGTTTTGTTTTTTTCTGTTCATATTTTCTGTTCACAAACCTCACATTAGTTTAGTTTTAAAAAAAGAAGTAAATTGTAATTGTCATGTATTGGTACAAAATTTGTATGAAAATGCTAACTTAATATAAATACAATATTATGTAAAATTATATCACACAAAGTGTAACCTATTTATTGTAGTTGAGTAAAAGTGTGGATAACTATATATATATATATATATATATATACACACACACACACACACACTAGTATTATAGTGCTTTATTTCTTTTAAGAAGCAATTCAATTGTTTGTTTCAAATTAAACTGAACCAATGCTTTAATGGCCTGTTCCCATATACTCCCTCGTTCTGTCCTCATTAACCGACAGGTTTTGCACTTATCAAGTTACTTTTAGTGGCTACCAGTGTAACATTATTACCATGACCAGTTATGAAGTGCCCTAGGTTGTAATTGACAAATTGGGCAACTTTAATCCAGATCCAACTGTTTGTGGGTTTTGTTGTGCCTTTTCATGAAATTAATTATAATATAAATTTTAAATTATGCTATAGAGTTTTCGTTTTTATTAATCGAGTTTCAACAACTGCCTCTGATTGGTTATTCCTTGCCTAAAGTTGGGGTTAGAGTTAGCCAATCAGGCAGATTCGGAGGCAGGCCTCGACAGAAAGCCGGTCAAAGCAAGAAGTGTTTTCAGAACTACTAGCAAAAAGTTACTTGTATACGAAAACTCATCTGTCTAAAGTGAATTTGCATTTCCCAGGTAAGTTGATGTATACTTGGCCAGAACAATGTTTAACGTGGTAAAAATAAAGTTCTGTAAGTACTTATTTGCGACTCGTAATTGTTACTGCTCAGTTAGCAGATGAGGGAACGTTCATGCCGCCGCCATTGCTGTAAGTTAACATTAGTTTGAGCATCGGCTTGTAGCCTGGAATGAGACCTCGTGAGACCCCCTCGCTCATACCAGCATTGCGTTAATGTTACAACTAAATGGGATTTATCATGTTATGTCAAAAAACAGTGTTAAGTTAAACAACATTTAGTTGTGCAGGCAGACTCTTGAATTAATGAAAAATATTAATTACCCTTCATAGCTTTTAGTGGAAACTTTTATTTTGTGTATTTGTAGTATTTTCGTGTGTATTTTGAGAATCTCAGATTCTGTGTACAAGAGGGAAACGGGAACTCTGTAAAGTAATTGTAAACCTCGTGATATTTTTGCATTTGGTCAAAGCCAAGTTGATGGGTGGGTGGTACCAAAGACACAGAAGAACTCTCAGTTGTCCTTCTAAACTCAATTCAGACAGACATCTGAAAGAAGTTATGGCTCGGAGGACCTTCATCTTGCGGTGCAGGCACATTCTTCAAGACTGTACACGGCGTCTGTTGATGGACGATGTTGGATCTGGTGTGCAACTCTTAACATTGACGAGGTATGTTGTGATAGGCATGCTCGAAAATGTCAAAGGATGATGCACTCTAAAACTATTAAGTAAAAGGCCTGCACACACTGCTGATCGTTATGCTATATTACAGTATACAGTAAAACAGTCTGCATAGGAATTGCATGGTGCCTGGTTATGCCAATATGGCCTATATCTCTGGCTCCCACCTCAATTCCATCACAGGACCAGGAACCGACACTAGGATCATGTTTGTGGACTTCAGCTCTGCTTATATACTGTTAAATTATTACAGGAGAAAGGGTTTAAGATGGTATTGTGTGTGTTTATGTATGTCAACTGTATGTTTGTCTACAACATAATCACTATAGCAAATTCCTTGTGTATGTAAAATACTACTTGGCAATAAAGCTCATTCTGATACCAATAAATGGGTAACCATTACGCTTTCTTATTTTCTCAGGCTAGAGACAATGCACAGAAGCCTCCAGTGGGCAAGGGGAAGACTGATCAATGTCACAGCTGCAGACCAACTTCTCAGCGACTTGGCTGAATTAATTCAGGAGGTCAGAATGTCTTCTCAGCCCGGGCAACAGGGTGAGCTCACAGTGTGTTGTCTTTTGTAAATTTTATTATTATTCTGTTTCTAGTACTGCAATCATAATGACTATGACTTGAACCGGATATGTAGTTTTTAGTGTTAGCATTCTTAAACTTCCAAAGAATCTATCCTTGTGGAAATATTTGCAATATCGAGTGTGTGTGGCAGCTTTGCAGTAAAAGTTTATTTTACATACTGCGCTTTTGATGTTGAGGTTTCATCAATATTCTGTGCTGTATAAGTTGATGTTAGGTGGCCTCAACTTGTTATTATTTTGGCTATAGCCTATAATGCCTTGTTATAGAAATGGAAAGTTTCTTTCTCCTATTAAGGTTATGCAAAAGTTATAGAAATACCTCAGAAAGGTAATTTAATAAAAATATTTCTAAAAGTTATTGAACTATATTATACCATTTTAAAAATTGTATTTATTGTGAAGTTAAGCAAATTTGAGGCGCAGGTTTTTGGGTGACGAGATTTGATAGTTTCTGCGTCTAAGTATTCATTAATATAACATAACAATATTCCTGTTGTAGGCTCCAGAACACAACATTTACAATTATTTACAGTTTACACCAAATATTACAGTTTGGATGATCCAAATATTTACTGTAAATGTGACAAATATGCAAAAAAGGAAGAAATCAAGAAGGGGGCAAATACTTTTTCACCGCACTTTTAAATTTATTTTTAAGTGTGTTTTATTAAAAAGGACCAGACTCGAAGCTTAAGACCTTAGCATAAATGCACAGATATTTGCAAGCATGGCACTACCCCACAGTCCATGTGTTAAATTTAAGCACGTGCCATAGCTACTGATGTTTCGTCAGATAGCTTTTAAACCCAGCTTCATGTCAAATACTGAATTGTATAAATACTCACACGTCACAATTTGTTTGCAATCCACATTATGGTTTACACTACCAGACACAACTGTATTGATTATATGTTGTATATTTTCTGTATATAATATGTACACCTTCTGTATAATGTCTGTAGTGCTTGAGTCAGTAATGGCTGGAAGAAAATTATGTGTGTTAACATACTTGGCCAATAAATCTGATTCTGATGTCATTTCAGGTAGTTTTGGCTACCAGGCACCGCTGGTTTTGAGTGGAGGTAGAGGTCGACCACATTACTGTGTCACTCGGGAACAGCTGTCATTCTTAAGGTCATGTGGCTTCACTGCACCCCAGATGGCAGATATTCTGCATGTGTCTGTGCGTACAGTTAGACGACGTTTGAGGTAAGAGACTAGGATTTCCGTGTGATGTGATATAGTCACGTAAGATTTGACCCGTAAAAACACACACTTTTATATGTAATGTGTGTGCATATTGTTTGGTCATGATGGACATTAAGAGTAACTTATGATTGTGCTGGATTACATTTCTCTACCTTTTAGACAGTTACACTGCACTCGCGCTTCATTGTATGCAGACTTGACCGATTCTGCCCTAGATGAACATGTGCAAGACATTGTGGCTGGCAATGACCTAGTTGGTCCTGAGGCTGTGAGGGCATCGCTGCATGCAAGTGGACTCCGTGTGCAGAGAAGGAGAGTGCGAGCAAGCATGATTCGATTAAATCCTGGAGCTGCTGCGCTTCGAGCAGTTCTGCAGAGACCAGAGCGACGGTCTTATCAGGTGGCAGGTCCAAACTCATTGTGGCACATTGATGGAAACCACAAGCTGATAAGGTAACTACAGCAACAGATTTATTCAGCATTTATTTTGACAAAGAAAAGGAATGTTACATCAGCTGAACGTGTTTGCCATTTTTGCTATATCAATAGCCACCTTAATAATAATTTTTTTAATCTGGTTTTAGGTGGCGGATAGTTATTCATGGGGCTATAGATGGGTTTAGTCGCCTTGTGGTCTTCCTGCGTGCCTCCAACAACAACCGCAGCAGCACTGTGTTGGACAGCTTCATCAGTGCTGTGATCCACTATGGCATACCCTCCAGGGTCAGGACGGACAGAGGAGGTGAGAACAGCGCAGTCTGGCTGATGATGAACATCTACAGAGGCTTTGACCGTGGCAGTGCTCTCCGAGGCCGGAGTACCCACAATCAGAGAATTGAGAGGCTCTGGGGTGATCTCTGGCGTGGACTGACGAATGTCTATTATGACTTATTCCACCATCTGGAGAGCGAGGGCATCATTAATGTTGACAGTGAGAGGGACCTCTGGGCTCTCCATTATGTCTATCTGCCAAGGATCAACCGGGACTTAAACGACTTTACAAATCAATGGAATAACCATGGTTTGAGAACAGAGAGACACATGAGCCCACTACAGATTTTTGTTAGAGGCTGCCTTGAGCAACAGGGCCGACCATCAACTGCCATGCAGGACATCTTTGTGGCCAGTGCTGCTGGTGGTGGTGGTCAAGAAGCTGCTGCTGGTGGTGGTGGTCAAGAAGCTGCTGCTGCTGCAGCTGGTGGTGGTCAAGAAGCTGCTGCTGCTGCAGCTGGTGGTGGTCAAGAAGCTGCTGCTGGAATTCCTAGGACAGAAGAGCTGGAGTTGCTGCTAGACTGGCCAGAAAGACGGATTACTGTGCCTGACATCCAGTACATGTTGGAAGGTCCTGTAATGGAGGAAGTGCAAGCACGGTTCGACCCACTCAGTGGCCCCAGAGGAAATCATGGCATACAGATTATCCGTGATCTTGTATCCTTTTTGGATTCAGCGTTGGGATCACAGGGACTTCACAGATGAAGGTGTTCATATTTGATCTTAACTGAACTTTCTTTCATGTGAGTCATTGAACTTGCTCAGGAATCCCCAAAAAGGCAGTAGTGAAAAAGAAATGTATTGGGTTGGAGGCAGGGATGCCCATGTAGGGCTTTTGTACTTTTGACAACTTTTTCCACCACTGTGAAAGACGTACTTTGTAATCTATTAAAATTCTGTCCCTATTTTCCCTTTTAAATTCTTCCATCCACTAGATACAACGTGGATGGCACCACTCAGATGACTGGGAAGCCTATCTGTCCCCATCTCTTAAAAGAAGAGTATCACCACAGCAGCCCCACTGTGCGCATCCAGCCAGCCAGTTAAAGAGCTGAAGTTCAAACAGCCCCAAGAACTGAAGGTTTTGCCCAAGAACTTCCACTCACCCTACGATGGACTGGACCACGAGTGATGCCCGTCACCAGCTGGAGCCTCACGCAGACGCGCACACACACACACACTGATGTACTTAGGCTATATTAGTTACAGTTGTTCATTAAAATGAGCGTAATTATATTTTTGCATTATTTTTTAAATACCTTTTACTGGTTTTAATGGTTTTAACATAATTCCTAATTGTTCAAAGTATTAAGTCAAATATCTGGTAGTAGTCAAGACTCCAATCAATTGTCTCTCACAAATAGTCTGACAGATTCTTTATCCTGGTTGTTCATAATAATAATTTTGAATGTTGTGTGGTTTACACAGTAAAATAAATTTCAACCTTTACTGATTAAACCGATTTCATTTTGTCATTATCAGCCAACATTATTCACAATGTAAAGATAGCTTATTGATGATTAACATGATTTCAAAACATGCATCTTATTATTTAGCTTAGGTATCATCAGAAGGTATGCTTTCACAAAGACTTCAGGTAACCTTTCTCAAATATGTCCATTTCGGAGGAAAGCAATTCAGCGTTTTTTAAAAACCAAGTATCTTAATAGCCTGCAGATGCCTTTTCAGGATCAGAAGGAGCTTTATTGTCAAGTAGTGTTTTACACATACGAGGAATTTGCTGTGGTGATAAGGTGCTACATGTAGACAAACATACAGTCAACATAAATAAATGTGGAAATATAAATATGGAATAAGATAAGTTTTTGTAGCAACTTGTATAGTGTAGTGTTTTGGGGTAACATAAATATTATCGCAGGAGTCCGGAAGGATAGCTTTGGATAAATAAATAAAAGCCAGGGAATAAATGACAAGTTTTCCCTGAACCGACTGAAACACACGTTTGTGTCAGGTTGCCTTTGGCCTGGATTTAGGATGACATGGTAAAACAAAGCTTTGTAGAAACAAGGGTAGGCTCGCTATCAATACTACACCGACTGAAGGGCTCATAAAAAGACAAATGAGGCTTAAACTGTTCACTGATGACCATGTAAAGATAGTTGTTCCACTTATGGTGATTTCTTACTTTCTTTGTGTTTGTATGTTCTATTTTAGGAGATACTTTAATCTGACAGTGATGATAAATAAAATGCAAATTAATTATTTATGTCAAATTTGATCTAAAATCATCAATCACTAGATGTTACAAGCTATAACCTAGAGTAGCTAAATATTTTTAGTAAATGTAGTCAATTTACTTGATCAGTCTGGGACTTTTGTGTTGAGTTTTTCATGCTTGTCTGTGGTTACTTTATGCCTTTGAGTGGCTACGATCACAGTAAAGTAGATCAGTGCTGAATTAGTGTGGTCTGTTCTTCTTCTGTACTGATTGGGTGACAACAGTTCAAATTTAGTGGCTGTAAAATCCACAGGGCGGAGCTCATTATCATTTTACAAAACGCCGTTTTTTACGCCGTTTGTTTAGTTAACAAAACGGCGTTTAAAACGGCGTTTTGTTAACTAAACGCCGCTTTTTACGGCGTGCCAAAAGAAAACGGCGTTTTTCGCGGCGTTTTTATACACAAAACGCCGTTTTAAACGCCGTTTTGTTAGCAAAACGTGCTACAAGAGTGACGTTTTTTGGCACTAATGGCTTGCCATAAGCGGAGACTTCTTCATCAAACCAGAGGCCAGAGCCGCCTCGCTGGACACGTCGCAATGAACTACTACTACTTACTGAAGGTGAGACTACGGCTCCCTGAAGGGGACAAACATCAAAACCTGAAGTTTAGTCTTTAGCGTGTGAAGTGATGAACCAGTTTATTCATTCTCTGAGCGGCCATCTTGTCGCGGTCTCCGCCTCTGCCCCCGTTCTGGGGGCCTCTCCACCGCGGTGCCGACGTCGTCTCGGCGTTCTGCCTGGCGATGACCGAAACTGCACAGAGCATGACTCGACGCGAGTGCCACCAAGACGACTTCCTGTACTGATCACATGGTGCTGAGACTTATAGCAGATTAGTTTAAAATACGAAAAATTTATCACTTTGGAACAACAAGCAGATAAAATATCAAACACGGGACGCATCAGTTTCAGAGCACGAAACTGACGGCGCTACCAAAATAAGAGCCTGGCTATGTGTTTTCCTGTCTTCATACAGAAAGTGAAATCTGATAACTTTCATTTTGTTTCCTGCAGAATTTTGATAAACTGAACATCCGGACAGCTCATTACACACCTCTGCCGCTTGGTAGCAACCCTCTGAAGAGGAACATCCATGACTATGTCAGGTAACCGAGTGATGCTAAGCTAACATGCAAACAGCACTGTCTGGTAACCTTCAGCTAATGCTAAGCTAATAATGCTTGAATAGATGTTTATTCTGCTTCCTGTCAGGACGGGGTTCATCAACCTGGACAAACCGGCGAACCTGTCGTCTCACGAGGTTGTGGCGTGGATCAGGAGGATCCTATGGGTACTGGGACGCTCAACCCAAAGGTCACCGGGTTTCTGATAGTCTGCTTGGATCGAGCCACGCGATTGGTCAAGTCCCAGCAAAGTGCCGGTACAGTGACCACTTCCTGTTTCTGTAGACTAAGAAACGTCTCCATGTGGTATGTGAGCACACTGAAGCCCAGCAGCCCCCTCACTACTCTGTGTTTGTTGCAGGTAAAGAGTATGTGGGAATCGTTCGGCTGCACAATGCGATACAGAGCGAACACGCACTGGCTCGGGTAAGTCTGACCACTTCCTGATTGGATATTTTCTTGATTGTTCTGCTCTGATTGGCTGGCTGTCATGTAACCCTCTAAGCTCTGCAGGCCCTGCAGACACTGACGCTCTGTTCCAGCGACTGCTGCTTATCGCCGCCGTGAAACGTCAGCTGAGAGTCCGAACGATCTACGAGAGCAAACTGATCGAATACGACCCCGAGAGGAGGCTGGGTAAGATCACTGATCGGCAGTCACGTATCGAACGACTATTGATTAGGTTCATCAGTGACGTCACGGTGATGTCAGAGGTCACGTGATTCTGTGTTGCAGGCATCTTCTGGGTGAGCTGTGAGGTGGGAACTTTGCATCCGGACTCTGTGTGTTCACCTGGGTCTGGTCCTGGGGTCGGAGGTCAGATGCAGGAACTGAGGCGAGTCCGGTCTGGAGTCATGGGAGAGAAGGTCGGCATCACTTCCTGTTGACCTCAGATCCAGAGCGTGAACTGAGGGGAACAAACTCCGCCCGCTACACTGGTGTTAAACTAGGATGCTGGATCAGATGTTGGTTAGCTGACTTAGTCTTAACCAAATTGGAGGCGCGTTGGCATAAAAGTGATGTGTTCGGCCGCGCAGGCGTTTTTTCACAAAGGTCCTCAGTAACGCTGAGTACAGATGGCGTGTATTAATACTTGTCCTTAGTAACGCCGAGTAAAGATTGCGTGTATTAATACTTGTCGTCAGTAACGCCGAGTGCTGATGGTGCGTACTAATAATTTTTCTTAATAACGCTGAGTACAGATGGTGCGTAGTAATATTTGTCCTCAGTAATGCCGAGTGCTGATGGTGCGTATTAATACTTGTCCTCAGTAACGCAGAGTGCTGATGGTGCGTACTAATACATGTAACGACTGACTTTCACCTCCTTTTGGACCTCCTTTTATAGCTCTGTTTCTTGGATTCACATCATCTCTTGGCTCTTTCCTACTGCACCTGAGTCTTGGAAAGTCCCTGACTGCCTGCTCCTCCTCTCTGTGTCCTCTGCATGCACTCTGCTTGATCATGCCATTTCTTCCATAACCTGACTTTTGTGGAATAAACTGGTGTTTTTTGTGCTCTGTGCTAGAAACAGGACATTCTTACTGTGATGGACTATATTGATGTATGTTTTGTAATACAAAATCTGCTTCTATTTTCCTTTGCAAGGTATTTTTGATGCTCCCTCCCTTTTCTCCCAAAGCACACGAACTTGCTCACACACACACGTGCCTGGGCAGTTAGATACAGAAAGGAGCGCATACACTCAGAGCTGTAGAGTTTTAACACTGTGATCCTAACTTTACACTATAAAATAATGATATAAACGCCGACTGCAGATGGTGCGTATTAATACTTGTCCTCAGTAACGCAGAGTACTGATGGTGTGTACGAATACATTTTTCTTAATAACGCTGAGTACAGATGCTTTGTATTAATATTTGTCCTCAGTAACGCAGAGTGCTGATGGTGCGTATTAATACTTGTCCTCAGTAACGCCGAGTATTAATACTTGTCCTCAGTAACGCCGAATGCTGATGGTGCGTATTAATACTTGTCCTCAGTAACGCCGAGTGCTGATGGTGTGTACCAATTTAAAATCTTGTTTCTTTTCATTGAAAGGGTCTCCAAGGTGACGGAGGAGTCATGTGAGTGATTGCTTCAGCAAAGGTAAACTCACCTGGTCAGACGACCAATCAGAAGCGTTTCTTCCCCAGGAGCTTCAGACGGGCTCGATGTGAAAATAAAGCTGACATAAATATCCACAGAGGCTCCTGATTGGCTGAATCTGTGAACCTTCAGGGCTGCTGACTGTTTAATTTACACCTAATGTTTAAATTGGTGCTCTAGTCAGAGGTGGGCCCTCCCACACCTGAGGGGGCTCACCTTCATGAGGGGGCGGGCAGAACGCCGCTGTGAGAGCACTTTGTCACAGCGACCACCTTTTCTGATGGCGTTTTTTTCTGACTTTGTGTTGGCTGACGAGTATTTGACCTTTGTGCTCTGCAGAGGAAGCGGGAGGCGGCAGAGAGCGACGGCGAAGCTGTGACGCCCGGCACGCCGTCTGCAGAGGACGTGAAGAAAGAGAAGAGGGCAAAACTGGAGGAGGCGGGGCCTGGCGGTGCAGCCACGGAGCCTGAAGAGGAGGGGACGGAGCCTACGACAGAGGTGAGTTAACTTTGAGTTCAGCGTTCCCTCGTCATGCAGCGACCAACACGCCGGTCTCTGAGCACCCCGGTACACGATCCTATGAACCGGGTTGTCAGCCAATCACAGCTGACCTTTAAGTATCGATGTCGTTGTTGTTGGCAGATTAAATGAACGATAAGAAACTTTATCGATCGTCAGAGTT